TGTATATATTATGCTTTGAGAAATCTAATCTTAAATAGTGTAGGAAGAGTAACATCTATACCTTGGAGATATTTTTACAAGGCTGCATCATTATCAACAAAAAACAACATTTGATAACAAATGCACTGCAGTCTATAAAAATGCAGTTGAAATTAGGAATAATAAGAATTAAGCCATGGACAGTTTGCATTCATGAGCATAAAAGTTAAAACTTTGCTAATAAAATTACCTTTGTGATACTTAAAACTTTTCTTAGTGGAGAATCTTAGCATATAATCCTGGTCTGATTACAAACTAGACTCTAAACATTTTTAAAGTAATTATTTAGATTTCTGTTTTTCTATCCTTATTTTTCCCATCTTCTGCTAGATTTGGCACCAAGTATTTCACCTGTTTTGCCTGAAGCCACTCTAACTTCTCTGCTTCCTTGGTCCTTTGAGATCCATCTTTAAGAACAACAGTTCAGACTATAGCCTGAGCCTGCTCAGACATATTTGTGGTTGCCCCCACACTCAAAATGACCTCCATACACCCCAATTTGGACAATGCCTCTGGCTTTAGGTCTAGTTCCCCTCTCACACAGATCTCTCAGGTGTTCTCACACACCCATAGGTCACAACCTTCCTCTTCTCTGAGGTTCATTTGCAAGCTGTCCAGGTCGGCCAGCAGTGAGTCTGGCTGTGTGTTGCCCATGTGAGATGTTGTGCAGGTGACTAACCTTTAGGAGCTTCAGTTTATTAGGAAAATGGAGATAATCAGGTCTTATTACCTATGTCTCAGCACAGTTCTGAATATCATGACATTTGAGGCCATGGTGGTCAGTGGTAGAATTCTTGTTTTCCATGCAGGAGACTAAGGAGTGTGTGTATGTTTATATACATACATATGTTGTTGTTGTTGTTATGTGCCGTCGAGTCAGACCTGACTCATAGGGACCCCTCCTTGTTTTTCCAAGGCAGTATCACTACGGAAATAGATTGCCTCATCTTCCTTCCAAGGAGTGGCTGGTGGGTTTGAACCGCCAGCCTTCTGGTTAGCAGTCAAGTGC